AACATAGCATTAATTTGCACTTAGCTCGATCATTAACCATTTACACCCTTAGGTTGGTACTCATATTCTCCACACTGATCTCTCTACATTTCCTGTGATAAGGACAAGGAGAATTTGTTTAACAATCATGAGCTTTTCAAATTGGTTATTATTTTCATTTTTTCTCATTACCTATACATTCAATTCAAGGTTGATACTGAAATGAGAAATTAGAAGCCAGTCACCCTTTAGAGTTAATGGGTTAATAACTCAGAATTGGACGTGAATGAAATCGCTCTTTTAAAAAGAGAAAGAAGGGAAAAGAAAGCGTTTTTTTATGACGGAATACAGGAAAAAAAAAACTGCTGCAAACAAATGGAGATTTAATCATTATGATTACCCCTAGCTTAGTGCATGGTGAGCCAACATGGATGTTCAATTTGTCCTTGATGTTTAAGCTAGCCTTGTGTTATGTATATTTGCTCTTGCACCTCAAAGGCACAAAAAAGCATCGGTGAGATTTAGCGAGCTGCTTGTGATGAAGCCACAAAATAAAATGATAGTTTTAAGCAATTATTCGGACGTATAGGTAATAAATTGCTAAACAATGTTGAGATAAGCGCATACTCCATTGACTCTGCATGCACACTTTTACTATCCACACCAGGTTTACATGTTGAGGTCCTTACGATTCAGAGCCCACGTATGCGTCCTAGAGTTTCAAAAAGTCTGATTACAGATTACTTGAGACTCGGAGGGTAACGGAAAGGCTCTGGATGTGCTATAAGAGCCCTGACCCTGCCATCGCTGAGCATTTTTAAGGTCGATTATTGTCGAACGCGGATGAAATTTTTGGGGTATATTTGTTGTGTTTAACAATTGGTGCCGCTTTACTAATAGCCTTTTGTAACAGGGACGTTAAAGAGCCCTGTGACCTGCATCAGTTCTCTTTTCTTTCTTTTTTCTTTTTTTCTTCCTTTTTTCTCAAACACTTTTTTGGAGCAAAACGGACATATCGTTAAAGATTCCAAACATGATAGGAAAATTAAAGAGAAAATGTTCCCAATAAGGCAAGTGCGAACGGTACCCTAAAACAAAGCACCACCCTAATGGTTACCTCTGCTGAAAACAGCCTACCATTCTCAAATAATGTTGCGCGCGTTGATTCTGTTATTTTTTAACGTAGAGAGCAAATTACTAAAGGTTGATTGGTTCAGATAGAGGGAATTTTCCCTTTATTTTGGTAATTGCCCTAGGGAAAATAACCCAAATTTGAAATATCTTCTGTTCTGATTGGCACCTGAGCAGGCAAGATGGGCTCGGGACTGCCCGCTGTGATTCCGCGCAAAAACAGTTGGCCTCCTTTCCCGTCTCTCGAAATAAACAAGTCTTGATTCGTAATAACGGCGATGTTTTTGCTCTATAATAAATCCGATATTAACCAAGGCTTTTTCGGTCGAGGTGGCTGGATATTAGTGTCGTTCTCTTTTCTCCGTTTTTATGGAAATAAAACACAAAAAAGAACTGACCCAATATCTAGCCATCTTGACCTCACGCTTGGTCAATGACGCTTATGAAAAATTGCGTTACTTCCGATTCTTTCCAAATTTGGAGTATAAGATGTTGAAAATTAAAGCCAATTTGGTAGTTAAATATGCACTACACAACTAATATTTCAAGTTCAATCGGCGTCGATGTGAGTCGATCTTATTTTATCCCCGTTGATGATGATTTAGAGGTTAAATTTATCATCGGAAACTCCGTAGATGGAATAGACAGTGGTGAAGGACGCAGACTAGATCGGGGGCTAGAAATTGAGATCGAGAAATCGAGAGCCATCGAACATATAGTTTTGAAAAGCATAGTCGTTCACCTCCAGTAGCCTATTTCGCATTCGCGTGCAGTTCCTGAGTTTTGATCAAAAATTTGCAACAAGTATGTGAGACCAAAGAGCCCCATAATTTACGCCAATGGATGTGATTCAACTATGCGATTCAAACCATGTGACGCGTAATACGATTGGTTCTTTTGTTGCCATAGAGAAATGCATATTTTGATTGTAAGCGATTACTAGTTAGTTTGTACGTGTGTTTTGTTTTAGTCAACTTCAATTTAGGAGCGGAACAAACCATTGTCACATTGGTATTCTTAGCGAAGGAGAAGATGCTATAATTGAGGTGAGTGAAACGTTTTCATCGGGTATAAATTCAGAATAACAAGTACAATCTTTTAATGCTTATCCTCAAAAATAACTCAGAATTTTAAAGCCCTGTTCAAACGGTCACGATAGTTGATGATAGTTGAAATAATCATTTGCCGTCATGTTTGCGTTCAAACATCTCATGATAGTTAACAATTGTTCACCGAAGTGGAGGTAAATATCAGGTAATTTAGTGTCAACAACTGAGTTGAAAACGTAAATTGGCCACCGCAAAGAGTTAAAAAGCTGACGTTTCGAGCGTTATCCCATCGTCAGAGCGATTGACGAAGGACTAACGCTCGAAACGTCGCTTTTTTTACTCTTTACGGTCGCCAATTACGTTTTCAAAGTTGTTATCTCTAAATTACCTGCGTCTCCCACCGACGCAGCACCACAGTACCTTTAGAAACTTACCCTCTGTATTCATGGGGGTAAATATCCATCATTTTCATCGACACTGAGGTGATTAATTTGTTTCAGTATATATAGTATATCACACAAGTACCATAAACTTAGTTTATTTCTTTCAATATACCGAAAATGGTGGGAATTCAATTCTTGTTGTTCAATTTTTCTCATCATCTGTTCGGAGGTGAATGGTACTTGTCATTCAATTCTGAACTAGCCAATCAGCACATGAAAAAAAAAAACCATTCACTGAATGTGTGTTATATACTAATTGATTATAGCTGTTGAAATCATACAATGGGATTTTACTGCCGGCTGATACCTAGTATCTTAGTGTGTGAAATTGTAAGCAAAATATCAGCCAAGAAGAGTGCTTATCGCCACAGTTTTAGAGAACATTAATGTAGAACGACTCTTCTAAAGAGTTGCTTGATCACCACAAATGAAGCAGGAAGGAGTGGATATGAAGTCAAGAAGTTGCAAGCAGAAGACAGAAGCCTTTAACCCTTTAACTCCCAGATCAAATTTGTCATTCTCCTCACTGTCAACCATACAATTCTTATAATGTTAGTTCAGATAATTTAGTATTGGATCAACAAATTATTCCCTAATTTATATTTTTCGCTATTCTCATCACTTATCTGGTTGATATTGCATTGATATTGTAAGGAGAAATTCTGTCTTGGTCACTCATGGGAGTTAAAGGGTTAAGGAGATGTTGAAAATGAACTTTGAGACAACCTATAAAATTTTGACAACTATTTTACCCCTCTTATGATTTTCCATTTCAGTTTGAAACTATTTTTGGCAAGACCACAGACTGAAAAACTAGTTAATTATAGTTTGAGTTCAAATGTGCACCATAGTTAGTTACTATCATTGTCTATCTGTACCATTTCTATAGGGCTTTACAGTAAATCAGTGTATATGTGTTGAACTTGATATATTGACTTCATTTGAATTCCTTTTTTGTTTCAATGTGTTGGTGTTGACCCCCAAATTTCATCTGCTTCTGCTGCCCCCAGTTCTGTTTTGCCAGCAGTTAGTAGTCTCATATTTTCAAAGAGCATCAGGTTTATTTTTCTGATGAGAGTGCTATATTCAGGCCTGGAATTATACTTCGGTTCATTTCCCCAGGGACATTGTGAGACAGTTTTGTGAATTCCCTGAGAATGATTTATCATCTGTGAATACTAAGCCCACTGCTCCTCATATTTCCTAACCAAACCCAAAGTGAGTTTAGGAGTATTTCAGCTTTCTCTGGGAACAATATATGCTTTGCGGTGTATCATAAAATGAAAAGGGGATATTTAAAAGTTTGGTTTTTCCATAGTGTCTGGAAGTGCATGCTAGAAATGATGGAAATTGCTTTGCATTGTGTCATACCGAAGAGTGTCATAGCTTATTGTTTTGCAAACCATATTTCCCATTGCTTGATTTTAATCACTGTCAATGGTTTTAGATGTTTTGTTACTCAAACGAAATACCAAAGAAGAGATAAAAAAACAAAATAATAGAAGATGCAAAAAAAGAAAAAAAAAAAAGAAGTGAAGAATGTCATAAAAGCCACTTTGCAGCATTCATTTTAACTTTGTCAGTCATGAGTTATGATAGTTGTGTTTTGATGCTAGTTTTGCCAAAGAGACCTCCTATTGATTAGCAAGGATAGCGGAGGGCATATTTATTTACTTAGTAACACTTCAAACCTGCCCCCATGCTGACACACCCCCATTTTTTCCAAAAATATTTCTTACCAGTAAGGGTTTGACTTACATTGGAAAACATGAAAATTTTGTGAAAAGATTTAGAATTTACTTTTCTCCTTTCAAATTTTCAGGAATGTGGCTGACATCTGGAGGATCAATTTTGTATTACTTCATAATAATTATTCATAATAATTACTGACATTTTGATGAAAAATCTTTTTTTCCTTAAATATGGTAACAAATTTATGCTAATTTTTCTGAAATTCTTATTTTAATACACTTCAATGTAAGATAATGTAGGGCCTTATTGCTATAAATACATGTTGAGGTAAAAAAAAATGAAAACACAGTGTGGTCAATTTCATGCATTTTTGGGGCCATAGATGAGTTAAAGTTTGCAAGATCAGTACTAATATATATGACCTAAATGTAAATGAGTGAGCCATTGTTTTATATATGTTAGTGCATCTAGTTCAATCTGTTTCCTAAGGACTGTGAAATGTGTTCACTGTAGTTTAGGGTAAAACTTTGGAGTCAAGGGAAAGATCATTTTCCTTGATGAAAATTGAATTAGTTGGTAGTGACAAAACTAATCAGTGATCGCTACAGCATTCTGTGCCACACAGCTTTGGTCCCATAACATCTACTTTGTCAGTTTTTCTAAGTTATTGCATAATCTGGTGACTGACATAATATGATATGTCTCT